CCTTATGATCAACACCTGAGCCTGTATATATTAAGATGTCGTCCTGATAAGCAGCCACATTGCGTCCTATGTGCTTCCTCAGTATATCCTGAATGAAATATTGAAAGAAACCAGGCGCTCCAGTGGGTCCAAAAGGCATCGTACGTGGCTCAAATTGCCCTTCTTTGCATATGAATGCGAGTTTGGCTTCGTCTCCCTCCCTTACTCGAAGATTGTTATAGCCGTTCCTCATGTCTAGGCTCGTGAATTCATCTGCATCAAGTAAATTGTCTATTAGTTCCATTGTTAGCGGTAGTGGATATTTATTTTTCACCGTTACTGCATTGAGTCTTTGGTAATCAAAACAGGGCCGTAAATTTCCATCTTTTTTCCCGGTGAACAAGACAGGAGCTGCCCAAGGAGAAGTTGTGCGTCGTATGGTGCCATTCCACAGTCCTTTGTTCAACATTTCTTTAAGGACTTCACTCTCTTTTGGCGATAAAGGTATGACCTTGCCAGCTTGTGGTGTTGCTCCAGGGATCAAGTCTACTCGAAAGTCGTATGGCCGATGAGGAGGTAGTACATCCGAGTTCTTCTTTTCAAACATGTTCAAATGATCATGGTAGCATTCAGGTACAAGTTCGGCTGCTGTTCTTTGAGGAGTCTCCTTTGCCTGTTCCGCCGCTAACTTGGCTGATAAGTTCCAAGATGTCGTCGCTGCCGCTATCATCGTGGGCGTTGGTTGCTGTTGATGTCGCAGTTGCCTGAGGACCTGATTTGGACGTGATAATCTAGTTCCTAGCCTTTTGGCGATGTCCTGTTGTGGGAAATGTGCACGCTTGCCAGCATGTTCAACTTTATTGGGATTTAGGGAAATATCACACGTACTCTGCGGGGGCATTTGTGAGTTCTGATTGATCTCTACCCCCTTGTCAATTTGCCTAGCGTGCCTTGTAGGCTCCAATCCATTTTGGTCCTGCAAGGGTTCTTTCGGCATTGACAAAGCTGGCTTCAGTGCAGCTGCAGGGTTACTTGTTCGTTCTTCTAACAGTTGATCGGGGTCGTCTTGTTCTGTGCTGAGTTCTAAATGAGAAAGAGGCTTGCTAGCTGTTTCTTTGATAATATGGTTAAGAGGCATCTCAAACTCACATTGCGGGGGCTTTAATGAGTTATTACACTCCGCCCCCTCGTCAGGATTCCTAACATGCCTTAAAGGCTCCACTCCAGGGATCTCCAAGGCTTCTTTCGGTCTTGACGAAGTTGTCTCTGCAACTGCAATGTATGTTTTGTCGTCGTGAAACTTGCTATTCTTCCAGTCGATAATATCAAAATTGTTCTTAATCCAAGGCATGCCTAATATAATGTCATATTTGTCTTTTAATTCGGTAATGATAAAGGTAGTGAGTGGGGAGTTGGTTGAATTGATGTGAAGATTGGCAGTATGAGTGACTTTTGATTTGTGTCCGCTAAAGCCAGTTACACTTCTTACTTGTGGTAATGGCTCAGTGTGGATAGTGTGTTTCGACATAAATGCTTTGCTTACCGCCTCATGCGTAGCTCCACTATCAACTAGGGCTCTCGCTCTTATGGTCGTGGCACTTTTAACGTCAAAAATAGTAACATCATCTATGATTCTTGTATCTTTCATTTCAAGTGAGAGTATATTACTATTTTCTAAAGCTAAATTAATACCGCTTGGGTGAGGCACGACTAGCACTCCCGAGCTTCGCCATTTTTTGACTCATTAGATCTTCCTTCACTTTTCTCTTCTTCTTTCGTTCCATCAACTTCAGCTAACCTTGATCTAAATCCACCTCTACCTCTACCTCTCCAACCTCCTCTATAACTTCTTCTATTTTTCTCAGGACATTCTCCTATGTAATGATCAGTTTTACCACAATGATAACACGCTCCCATTACGCCTCTTCGTTTATATTCTTCAGAGGAGATGTTCACTCTGTAAGCCAAGCAGTCCATTGCATCGGGATCAAGAGGGGCGGTTGATGTTGAAGTGATTGGTACTGATGATCTTGCTTGGTAAGTTGATGATTCATTATTGCGTTCATTAACTTCATTATCTATCTTGATTGCCAATTTCACCATTTCTTCCACTTCTTCAAACACGTCTCGGACCATGTGCACCCTTATTTCCCCTTTTAAACCTTGTTTGAATTGAGAAACGAGGACAGAATTAGGCCATTTGACAATGAGTGAGAGTTCAGAGAATTTAATCCAGTAATCAGTAACTGATTGGGTTTGTCGTAATGCTCTTATTTCCCTTTCAGCTTTGGCGATGCATTCAGTGTCGAAGAAAGTGGCTTTGAATGAATCAATAAATTTTTTCCAAGTCACAAGTCTCATTTTTTCAGAATCGAGCAACTGGTCAGTCAGCGATTGACCCCATAAGCTGGCTTTTCCGTCCATATAAGACAATGCGAAGGCAACTTGAGCCTGTTCGTTGATGAAACTCGTCGCATTCATTTGCATATACAGGCTGATTTGATTAACAAATACTTCGGCTTTCTGACCTTTTGCACCATCGAATTTATTCGGTGTGGCTATCTTGGGAGGCTTCACCTGCAGTTGTTGTTGGGCTGTTGGAGTTGGGGGAGGGGTAGTCGTGGGTTGCATTGGTGTGTTGGGATTGCCTTTCTCAATACTTTCTTTTAATTCAATCCACCTTCTTTCTGCTTCCTGCCTCAATCTACTTTCCTCTCCTAACCTCTTATTCATCTCATCCATTTTCTTTATTAATTCAGTTACATCGATGTCCATGACTGTATTTTCGACGTCGACAAACTTTTCACTCGGTCCTGAACTACTAGGACTGTCGGGTAAACCAAACTCCGGCGTGGTGGGTGGTTGATTGAGGGGATAAGTTTGGAATATCGATTTAAAGTTTGAAGCGGGGTAATTCAAATATGCAAGGAGATCTTGAATCTAGTTTTCTTCGAACTTTAATTAGCTTTGACTTTAATGTTTTAGTTCTAAATCTTCTTTCTCTTTCTTCGATTTCTAAGCTTGCTTTTTTGTTTTTCTTCTTTTCCTTCTGCTTTCTTTTTTTTCAGCTTTACTAATTTTAACTTTTAACTTTTCTTCTTTGAATTCTTTCCTGTCCTGGATCCTGAATATTTGAGACTTAGCAATATGATAGGACTTGATGTGATGGGTCAAGATGCAAGAGCAAGAAAGATGCCGTGGGTGATATAGTTGGATTGCTAAGTGAGGACTAAAGCCTGATGCTCACGAGAGCTGTGGCTATGCCCAACGCACATGTCACGTAAGTGTAAGTACAGTACAAGTGTCACAAGTATAGGATTGTAACATATATCTAGGTCCCTTTGATTCGGAAAAGCCATTTGGGTGGCGGGCACCAAACTCCTCACTTTGGTACAGGCCTATGTCCCTGTGCATTAATCAATCAGCTTGGAACCACCAAGTAGACCAAAATAAATGAAAAAGTCTCAAAGTAAGATAACCCAATACAGATTAGTCCAAGATAAAGTGCTGAAAACTCTAGATCTTTTGTGTGCCTGGCTTAGATATTTTGGGACTTGGGGAATTTCTAGGACACCTTCTTCACTTGACTGATAGGTATCTTAAAAAATAAAATTTGATAATTGTGTTGCTTGGATAAAGTCCAAGCACTGCCAACAGAGATGCCTTGGGTTGAGAAATCCAAGGCATCATCAGAGACAAATCCTCGGACAGACCTTGTCCGAGGTTTTTGTCCGAGGTGTCCTGATGCGCTGAGAATTACCTGGGATCATAACCTCGGACAGCATCTGCCCAAGGTTTAAAATCCGAGAATACCTTGGGTTTTTGATCCGAGGTAAATATGTTGGCGGTGAAGTCCTGAGATGTCACGATACTTGCTCTTCAAATTTGATTTTCAAACTCATCAGCTGCTTGAATTGCTTCATGGTACTATTTTTGAATGAAAATCAGTGAGGCCGTGTTCACTTAAGACATTTATGACCAGAAATCAGATTCTGTAATTTTTTTAATGCAAAAATGAAACATGCACCATCAATTAGACACTTTAAATTTTGCACAATGTGATTTCTCACCAGCAATTGCTTATGTGAACGTGCCCTAAGCTCATGATTACTTCTCAAAGCTGTTGGATTGAAACCAAAGTGAAATAATCAAATCAAAGATTGATATATAACAATTTGATTTGACAAAGGTTGGGTCAATTGAAGCATGATATCCTATGATAGATTCTGAGTTTTCCACTTCTCATTCTCATTGATTCTCAGATCACCCAAGTTGTTGAATATTTTGGAATATCACTGTGATTGTTCAAACTTCATGTCAGGTGGCAAAGGTTGTTTTGATTGTTATCTCTCTTCTACCTCCTCTTGATCTGTGGCACATGATACACCATGCTTGATGCAATTGAAAATGAACTGGTTGACTAATTAAAAAATGATGCACAATTGGCTTAAATTAATCAATGTGCAGATTTCAATTTGACAAATTGCTGTAAGTTGGCTGCCAGACTAAGATTCAGATATGCTGCAACTGAAGTATATCACTGATTGATCTATTTGTTGATCCACTTGAAGTTTGGGAGAACTGACACTCATGCCAGGGATTCAAATAAGCATTCCAAGAACTTTTTTCTCACCCATTTTGACATTACAATGTAGATCAGGTCAATGAATTGAGGTGTCAGTTATATCAAGAGTCAATTAGCTATGATAGATGACTCAAAAATTTTAATAATTTATCCAAAGCTTTGCCACCATCACTCATGCCCCCATCAATTGACAGATGTGTTTGTAGAATGATTATTGACATCAATACAGCTTTTGAACTTGGAAATCTCAAAGGATCACTTCACACATTTTGTTTCGAGCACTGAGATAAATCACGGATACTGTGAGGCAATCATCATCATCTTATTTTGAGCTATCTACCAATAAAAAATCATTTAAAGCCAAATCAATTTGATCATGAATTAATTCAATTTCATTTCCCCAGATAGATTGGAGGTGTGCCCAAATCATTGTCAGTCACAGAGCTGAATGATGGCTACAATAATGATTTCTAAGGCTGAATTGAAGTGCAGTCAAATCATTTAATTTGAGGTTTGAATCATAAGTCTCTTTAATCTTTTCAAAAAACTCTGATACTTGAAAATGAATGATAACCTTAACCCCCCCTGATTCCAAAAAATCCACCCATCAGTATTCTTGATGTTTTTAAGAAGGAAAGAATGACCAAAGACAGATCACTTACTGTCCCAATTTTTATAAGTCATAGCTTGTAACCAAGTGAACCCAGGTCCAAGTACAGCTTGGACTTCCACCACATAATTCTCCAACGGAACCCAAACGTCTTCTCACACCTTCATCTCATCCTCAAACTGATCCATCTCAAAATCTTCAATTTGATTTGTTTTCACTTCAATAACTTTTGATTTAAATTTCTCTCTATATTTCTTGATAATCAATTTGATATCTTCTAGTCTAGATTCCATAGATTTCAATTCAATATTTTCATTCTTTTGAAACCATTTCTTCAATTTCTTACTCAACTTTTCTCTTTTGGTTCAAATTTGATCAATTTTTCTTTCATTTATGGTATTCAAACTTCGAAATTAATTCGTGCAAGTTTTGTGCAAGTTCTGTGCAAGATATGGATAGAACTTGCACGGATATTGCACAAAACTTGCAAGTTGGTCTCACACGGCTTTTGCACGGTTTAGAACACAATAACTCGGGTTGTCAAAAAAAATTAATGTGCAAGATTAGTGCAAAAAATCTTACAAGATTAGTGCAAAAAATCTTGCACGTATCTTGCATGGATCTTGCACATCAGTCTTGCACAGTTCTTGCACAGGTTTGACACTCATACAAGTCTTTTAAATTCTCTTTGTTTTGTTTTAAATTAATTAGTTCAATTAATTTCTTTAGTTGGCTTCCTTCCATTTAAATACCTTTCTAATTTCATCCAATCACTTGCTGTTTCTGCTGTTGGCCTTTGTTTCTTTCTTTGTCTTGATTCTTCTTCTTCTGTTGTAGGTTCCAATTTTTCTTGTTCTTCTTCATCTCTTTTCAACACAAGAAAATCTAATTGATGAAAACCACAAAACAAAATCAGTAAAATTGTTCATGTTGAGTTTAGTTCAAATGATAGTGGTACACAAAATTGAAAGCCACATGAGAAACCCGCATGAAAAACCCGCATGAAACCGCATGGTTTTTTTTGTTTTCCCCGCAAAAACCAAAAAATTCATGCGGTTTTTTCATATGGTTTTCTCATATGGTTTTCAATTTTGTGTACCGCTGATGTAGTACTTTCACCAGCACAAGGGGTGAACAATACCTGAAAGAGGAAATCCAACACCTATAAGTAAAAGGGCTAGAGTTGCCTAAAGGCTGCTCTTTCTAATAATAAAAAAAATTGTGGTACTCAAAGCTACATAGTTAGACTTACATAGTTGCGTACATAATTTTCTTGTTTTTTTTTGGCGGGAAAAAAAAGTATATTTGGGTTGCAAAGTATGTAGCTTTGAGGATCCCTGGTATACTTCTTACCTCAATCATGCCTCGTGTCAGCTGTCGTCCAGCACTCACACTTGGGCTTGCTCGAGCAAGTGCCCATACCTTGTCTGTTCTCTTTTCGACTGCTCAACCCCCTTCTTACGTATTATGAGAAAGGGTATCAGGCATTGAGGGGATATGAAGTTGAATCAAAAAATAAACTTTGGGTCGGCCGTATATACTTGTACATAGTTGCTAAAAACTATGTACGGGCAAGTATGTAAGCGTACATACTTGCTTTGAGTACCGTAAATTTACACTGCTAAAGCCTCAACTACCCTGATGGTAATACTACTATTTCGTTATATGTTGGACCTGAAGCAAACATGGAAAAAGTTACAGCTCATGTTTTTAATTGGATTTAACACAGCAAACACTGTATTTTTTTTGTTTTCAGTGGTGAATTTTGAGGTTTAATCTTTTTTAAGGTAGCAAAAAACTTTCTTTTTTTTCTCAATGTCCAACATATAATGAAATAGCTGTAGACTCACAAGAAAAAAAAACCAACTCTCAACACCAATCAGGTGTTATTCCAGATTTGATTCTAACACACCACGGACTTATTTTAAAAAAAGAGATATAGCACTACATAAATTAAGTAAATAAAACTATGGGCCCATCAGTGATGAGGAAAAAAAAAGAAAACAATTTATATGGGTCAAAAGGACCCTCTATATATACTCAAGACGTCAGACATTTCACGCAGACACAGCCCTCCAGTAACCTTCACAATCAATCAGATGAGATTCATAGAACATGAACAAAAAAAAAGATAAATAAGTTTTTGCATATTTCCCATGCTGCCACTTTTCATAAACCCATAACTACCCGAACCAGTCCCACATGTCATTTCCCATAATTCACCCTTTTAAATCTGCTTGATCAACCTTTTCATCCCTCTTGACAATCAACAACTTTGATTTCAACACCTTTAATCAATTCCATTCGACTTCAGCAGCATATTCATCTCCATTTCCTCTCCAACAACCTCTCTCCGAAAGCCTGAAATTTCAAATCAACATCGCTTTCAATGAATCACACACAAGCTCGCATCGCTAATCGCCACATTGCCACGATCTCAACTGCAATTATCTTCACCAGAACACTTCTCTCCTTTACCTCCGATGATCCAGAACGTGTTTATCTTGATATCATGAATAGTAAGTCATTGTCATGTTTTTTTCAATGTAATCTTCTGAGTTTGATGCTGATGGACTCGTTACATTGTTTGGTTAGTTTATCGATCGATTTTTAAGATCTTCACCCAATCATGAAGTTTTATAAGTCTTGTCTACTTGACAATCATACAGTTTTAATCAACTTATATTCGTTTTTAGGGTTGTTAAGGAATGCTTTAATTGAAATGTCCTAAATGCGAAATATACATAACAATGTCTTGGATAAGTAAGTTATCTTATTGATATCTTTAATTCAATTTGTAATGATGTTGATTCTTGTCTTTTATTTATCCATTGATATCTTGTGAAGTGAGTATAGATTTAAAAGATGAAGTCATTTGTGTGAATGAGGTATCACTGGTTGTTTTCTTTCAGATCAATTTGTGTATAAAGAAAGCAATGTATTGAATAATTCTTTCCAAGCGTTGTTTTTAGTGCGTGTAAAAGAAGTGACGTAAAATCGAATATGATAATCATCAAGTGTGAATTTGCAAACTGTAGAGTTGACCTACCGGTGACAGCAAGGAAGAGAGACATGTGAATAAAAATAAAGCTCCCGCTCAATAAGAGCTTTTGCTCACTACAACGATCGATTTCAAAGAAACAGATATCAAAGAGACTTGGAAACTTACCATCGAGATCACACTGCCAGCATTAAAGAGGTTCCCAGATGGGAATACGGGTCCTAGTGATCGGATTCCCATTCTGCTACTGCTACACAGTTCCATGAATATTTCCTGAGTAGCCGTTGTGATATATGTAGTCAATATTTTGAAATGTGCGTCTCAATCTGAACAAAGTTACAGCATGTATTACACATGATTTTCTTATCTAGATGAGCAGATAACTGAACGGACCTGTATGTAGCTGATAGCTAAGGATTTACTCAGATGTTTGCACATATGTAGTGTATACTTTATGGCTCAGATGTGCAGTGCAAGATGATTTGATTCTCCATTCTTCTCTCAATGATATTCCCAGCCTAGGTCATGTTCCAACCAGGGAACCTATTTAATGCTGGCAGTGTCATTTGCCAAGTAGATCTTCAATATTATTTTCCGTGTCCGTTTAAGTCATAAACCAGATTGATTTGATTTTGATAAGTTTTTTTAGTGATTGGAATCAAGTTTAATTGAATTTCATCGGTTAGATGAGATTTAAGTAAGATCGAGTTCTGTTTGAATCGATTGAAGAAGTTTGATTGTTAATGAGGTCCAAGTAAGGTAAAAGTTTATATTCTTAATGATCTTTTAAATGATCCATTGAGGGTTTTGATTTTCGATCTAGTTCTAGTTCTTCAATTTTGGCATACTACACGATATTTTCTCGATTCTTGAGATCACCGTTTGTACGGTTAGCATTGTGAGCCAAAGTTTGCGCTGATCCTGTCATGACAATCGGGAGAATATCTATCTAGATGTAAGATTCAACTCTGTCAAGGGGAAGTAGTGAGCCAAAAAAGCAAAGTCAGATATCAAAAGAAGAGGTAAGGAGAGGAAGCGACCATATGGAAGAGAGATAAAAAAGCGCTCAAACTAACAAAGATTGAAACTTTGAAACTTTACTGATTGTAGGAAAAGCATGTTGATTCCAAACAGGTAAAACTTGTTGGGTCCAAATTGGTGACACTTTGGCTTGGATAGGTTGATGAATCTTTCGATTAAAGCTTTGAATGTAAGGTGAAAGATGTGGTTAAGGCCCAATGTAATTTGGCTAGACTTGAGCAAATTAATGGGTTCTGAGTCGGATCTTCTGGCCAAAAATAAAAGTATCCAAATAAAAGACAACAGCTTGAGATCCTTAAGAATGAAGAAATCAAGATTGATAAAAAGGTTCGGATGTGTCTGGTTAATTTGATGTTTTGTTTTGGGATTGGTTTTTTGGTTTAGGTTTCTAAATCCAATGGAAGAAAAAGGACGATTAGTAAAATGGTTTGAGGAATGTATTCAGATTCGATGGAACAGAATGCACACTTTTTTCATGATCATCTTGGTTTGTTGAGGTGGATGAATCGTAGTTGTAGAATATGCACCATCAATAAGAGTCAGAAACATCAAGTACTCAAAACTATCAAATTTTCAAGCAGGCAAGGAGTTTTGTCCAGTTTTGTTCAAATTGATAGTTCTCCTTTAATGTTTATGATTTTGATCCCAATGGTGCGAGTTTAAAGAAAACGGCGCCAAATCGAATACTAGGATGTTCAGATTTCAGATTAGTGATGGCAAAGTCTTTCAGGATTACCGGTGTGGAAATAAAATTTACTCGAGTCTTTTGAAGACCTTTATATAGAACTTTATTATTATTATTCATTTTTTTAGTCTCTAATAGGGCGCTCTCAAACTCAGCTAAAAGGTGGCAAAGTCGCATTTCTTTTGGTTTTTTTTTCATTTCATTACTCCAAGCCAGTCCAGAAGGGACAAGGCCCCAGCTACAAGAAGGACTGAGACTTAATCAGACTAAACTAAACAAACAAGAACAGGGGCTGGCTGAGCCTTTAACATCAGAAATCGATCGATCGGGTCGGTTTAAACTAAAAGAGGGTCAGATGAAAACAAAAAGAGAAAGGAGCAGTCAGAAGAGGCAGAAGAAAAGGAAGAAAAGGAAGGGAGGACTAACCTGAATCGGTCGAAATCAATGAATCGATTTCGATTCTTGGAGCCAACAAGCCTGGCTCGCAGCGTAACCAAAAGCGCGCAGCGCGGCGGTACGCTGCGCTCGGCGCACCCGCTCAACTGCCCGGGTAGCCGGAAACCCGGGCGCAGCGTCTTTCGCATGAATTCCGGGGCCAAATTTTTATCAACTACGCACCCGGCTACTGGGGCCGGGTGGACAGCCACCATTCAGTTAACTCAACACATCCCACGCTATCTGCCACCACACCACCAATTCATCTCAATAGATCTCAATCGATGGCCGCCCTTTCCAGATCAATCAACACGACTTCATTAGTGCCATGTTTCTTTCAACGCTCAGACCTCCAAACCTCACCAAATGAAATCAAGTGGCTGTCTTTATGGAAAAAGGCTATCATATGGTTCTTCTTGCAAAACGAGTCCTCGTTTTGGGTTATAAAGGTAAGCATCGATCACGATCAACTACAGTCCAAACTAGTGGTTCACCATCACATTCGTTCTCTTAACTTTACATTCATCCATCACTGATCAATTTTACATTTCGATTTTTTTTTGTTTCTTCTCATAAATAGACTAATATGTTGACCAAGCAAACCACTGTAGATTCCTTCCTGGCCTCTGGATACGAAACCGATGATACATCGGCTCCTCCAACTGCTTCAGTTCCAACTCGAAGATCATCTCGAATCATCACACCAGCCAAAAAAGCTCCTGGTATGATCACCCCCAGTTCGGACTCTCGACGAGCTCTTGAAGACTGGAATTCATTCAGATCGATCAGGGACGTCAGAGACGCGCACGTCCACCGACGCCGAGAAAGATCAGCCTCCTTACCAGGCGACGAATTGATACGTGAACCAGCTCGTGGCCGATCAAAGACAGTCACACGTCAATCATCCACAGTAAGTTTTCTTATTTTGTTCATCTATCTCTGATTTCACATGTTAAAACATATCTTTTAACATTTAAATTTCCTTGGCTTGATACGCTGCGAAACGCTGCGGTTAAAAGCTCCACTTTCCGCTACCAAAACTTGGTAGATTTTTGCCCCCGCTTCCATTCAAGTTACCACCCCTCCCCCCAAAAAATTGAAGTTACGCAGCTCAGGTTAGTCTTTGCTGCGCTGCGCGGCGCTGCGAGCCAGGCTTGGAGCCAAGGAGTAGGAATAGATGGTAGGGTAGGCTGAGAAGGTAGTGAAAGTAGGGATGGTGACGAGTGGACCAGGCAGGGCTGAGGAAACACATCTCGTTTTGGAAACAATTGTTCCGATCGGAACGGTCCAAACGTAACAAGGAGTAGCCTACGAGATAAATGAAAAGAGAAAACGAAGTA